ACTTATATAGAGAAAATCGGAAAATAGATAACATTTTGTAAATTAACCTCGAATGAGTATTTCATTATTCTAGTTTATACTGATTGTTTATCACTTGTATCAGTTAGCAACTTTATTTAATTATCATATAATTTTATCGATGTCTGCAAATGTATTCATAATATATGTATTTAATTAATCATCTTAATGCATCATCTTGTGTAGTATACTGTTCTTTATATATAAGCACCATCAAAATTTAGATAATTTAAAAAATTGTTGGTATATGTATTAAACAATTGGTGTAAATTAAGATCATTAGATATTCTCATGCTTGTATGTTAAATTATATGAAGTTAAACTTGAAATGAAGGTTCAAAAGATATGTTAAGCTTTGAAAAAGATATAGTTTTTGTTTTAACTTTAAACTTGTATAGTATGCAAGCACGAATAACTGAGATTGGAGTACTTATTTTTACAGTTTACTTTTCATAATGTTATAGCAATTCCTTTCCAATTTTTGGTATATAAACAGACTTTACAATACATCTTGTTTTCAATGTTATTGACATTGTACGCCAAAATCTATGAAATCTTTCGTGTCTAAGTAAATGAAATTCCTAAAGTGAATCTGTTTTATCAGTTTTTCCAAACAAGTCTTTTTCTAACTGCCTTTACAGATTAAAAAATCTTTCTCCATAATTGAAGTATAAACAATAATGTAGTCTAAACCGGTCGACTTTATGCCAAAAATGAAAAAAGGTTGGAAAATTATAGTTTTATTACTGACTTTTAACGTCGACTTTTACGTTCGTAATAATGTTTGCTTTATATACGAGTTTTACACTTTGTATGTATAAAACAATCTTGGTTTGGACTAAAGATTACCTGAACAATCAATGTTGAATACTTAGAATTAGATTTAGATACTTAATACGAAAGATTAGTTAGTTAAAAAATTTGTACGTATGTGTGAGTGCGATATGGATGTAGTAGTATATAAAAATATATTGTGTCGCATTTTATCGGTAAATCAGCAATCTTATCAGAGTTCAAGCAAATGACAGAATTTTTTTAGTTACTTAATACATATACACACATGTAGGTACATACTATGTTGTTTTTGTTTATGTATCTAATAAACTCGAAATATTTTTAAATTAAATAAGATTTTATATTATTCTATTTTAGATAAAATGCATAATATGAAAAAATTATTAAAACATTTGAAAAAATTTGAAGATGGGCACATAAAATTAATTTGTATGGAATTGGAGAAATTTGAGAATGGTCTACAGGTTGTTGATAATTGTCAAATTTTTGGAACAAAGAATGAAAATTATTTACAATCAACTTCTTCAGAAGAACCGTCTCTTATCAAAAGGCATCATTTCAGAAAAAAAATACAGTCAATTAACAGTGGATTATGCATTATCATAAATCAGATGTATTTTATGAAGGAGGTATTACTATTTTAATTAGTATATATATATATATATTTTTTTTTAATATATATATTTTATATTTTTATCTTTTTAGTATGAAACACGCTTTGGAACAAGTGCAGATTCTATTAATCTATCTGAAACATTTAAAACCTTTGGGTTTAAAGTCGAGATACTTCAAAATCTAAAAAAAAACGAAATGTTAGAGAAAATAAAAAACATTTCGAAAGACTATGGTATTAAGTATGATTGTTTATTTCTCTGTGTTCTAAGTCATGGATACAAAGGTGAATAATACATACAACAATAAAAATTTTTTTGAAGTATTTAAACTTTTTTTCGCTTTAAAATATTATATAATTATTATGAAAATATCTCAATAGAATAATCGATAAAATAATTGATAAAATCATATTATGCTGTATCTTTAAGGCTTTTGTTCATTATTATTATCTTAAATGATCAGAAGTGAAAAAAAACACAATAAGAATTCTTGCAGATTACCTTTAAATAGAAATATTTTTGATTAAACAACATTTGCAATTGTATAATAGAATAGATTTATAAAATTATATAATATATATTGAAAACTATTTATCTGTTTTGGAGAGAAAATTAAATTATATTTATTTCTGTATATTAATTTGAAATTGAATATTATTAATTTGAACACACAAATTTGAAAATTTGTTATGTGACTGTGAATATAAAATGAAGAACTCTGATTGATTTTCTTATACCTTATGCATTCTGCAGCATTAAGCAAAAGTCTGTGTTAGCTTATATTCCATGTAACACACTTTATCCAAGGGACGTCTTAGAACGTTTTAGTACATAGGAAAGAATGTTTTTAATATCGAGAAAAAAGTTTTCAGAATTGTCTTTTGAACGTCTCTTGAAATTATGTGCTAAATGGGATGATTATTTATTAATTAACAAAGAAAAAGGAGAATTTTCGATATATGTTATAAGTTGATTTTATTGATTATGTTTTTTATTGAAATATATTTCCATATATATTCCATAATATAGTTTGCAAGAATTTTTATTGTGTATTTTTAACATCACAGGCTGAAATAATAATGAGTGAACAGGAGTTTTAAAATATTTATTTATTTTTATTAATTAATTTATATTTAAGATTAATGATCAGAAAATGATGAGTTTATATCATAGGAGGCATAATTGCATCAGATGAGAAAGAAGTTTCTCTGGAAGCAATAGAACGGGCTCTTTGTTGTATGGAATTAAAAGATGTTATAAAAATTGTTATTATTCAAGCCTGTCAAGGAAAGACACGTGGTAAAAGAAAGCTATGCAAAAGTTAAAGATATAATAAAAATATTTTAGATAAATTTAATATAGCGAGTTACAAAAAATATAAAATATTTTAAAGATTTCAATGATTTTTTGTGTTTATTGATATCTTTTTTTATCATTTTGAAAGATGCACAATATGTTAAAAAATTGCTTAAACATACTATATAGTTTACATTTATCAGATATATGCACATTTATTTTTTTATATATTAAAAGTGCATTCTTTTTACAATACACATATTATAAAATATTTTATTAAAGAAGTATTATACAGCAGATTTTCCTTTTAGGAACTATAAGCAATTCCTTGACAACAGATGGTTTATATGATTCTTTTACACCCACAGAAGATATACGTCAATTTGCAAACTTTTTTATGTTTATGTCGACAATACAAGGTTTTCTATCAATACGTCATAAAGAACATGGTAAATAGTTGAACTGTATTTTATAAAGATCTATATTTTTCTTTCATTTAGTAGGATGTCCAGCAATTCTTAAATATTCTTGAATTTTGGAATTTAAATATTCTAAGAAATTCTCTGCAATTTCAGAACTGATTTGGAATTTTTGTCATTCTTTTCTTTAAAAAAAAATCGATAAAATAGCGATCTTGTTAGACGTTTTTTGGTCTTTACTTTAGGATCCTTAATATCATATTAATGGTATATAATTTTATATTTTTCCATTTTTTTCAGGGTCATGGTTTATACAAGAAGTTTGTAGAATTTTCAAAACTTATGGGAATCAGTTAAGTTTTTATGATTGTGTCAGAAAAATAATGAAATCTATTCGAGAAAAAAAAGGAACAATAGATGGGAATCAGATTGCACAATTAACAGAAATACGATTGGATCGTTTGGAATCAGACTTTCAATTAAAGCAAGTTATTTCTGCAGTTTAACTAGAAAGTAATCGTATATTATAAATATTATATCGTATAAAAATAGATATATTCAAATAAATAATTTATATATTAAAATTAGTTTTAAAAGTTAAGGCTTCTGAACTCATATTGAATCGTGACATCAGAAGCTAGAAACGATACGTTAATTTTTATTACATGCTATTTGTAAATAAAGCTATTTTGGATAAAATGAAATGATGAGATCATTTAAAACACTTGTAAAAATGAAGAATTCAATTCGCCAAACAGATCGCGACAGTAGAGACAGGTGTCGATATATTTTAAAAATCGATAGGGAGGAATTAGGAGATGAAAGAGAAATTGCAAGAATTTCGATGGAAGGATTAAGAAGAAAGGTAATCTTGAGGATTGAGTACTTGATAGAATTTCGAACCAGTATATAAGTACACCACGAGTATTGTGCCCTGTACTGTCCCTACGCACACAGTCAAATCTAATTTAAAATTCTTAGGATGGGCGAAAGCAAGTTTCTACTAAAACATGAGTAGATTCAGCAAGTTTTTCTACCTCCGCTTTATTTCCCACCGATTCCAATAATCATATACAATATTTCCAATAGAGGAGTCGCAGGGAATTGCTTTTATTATTGTTTGAACATTTATAAGATATAATACACGTTATAAATAAAATTATAAAGGGTATCTTGGATTTGCTATAGACAAAGATTAAAAGATAAGTTCGTCAAAAAGTCGGAAAGACTGCTAAGAAGTTGATGAAAGAAAGAGATAAGCGAACGAAAGAAATTGTAACTCCCTCTTGTGGAGGGAACGGGGGGGATAACGCGTGAATCGGACCGTAATCTAAAAGTACGCTAAGACGTGGGACTCTTACAATTGTGCGAATGACATATTTTTTAAGTTGATTACCATAGCTATAAAATGGAGAAATCCGAGAATTTCTCTGTTTTGCAGCTTTTGTCAAAAACGGATGAACGAATATCATTCTAAGTTTCAAGCAAATCTTTTTTTTTATATGTTTATTTAAATGCTCTCTACAAAATTTTATGAAAGATGCAAAAAATGATTTAATTTACAGGAATTGAAGTATATAAAGTTTGACCGCTTAGTCTTTATTTCTTAATTGTTTGTGTTTTTCATATAACGATCTTTATAAAATGATACTTTAATGTTATTTTAATTATATTTATAAATGGAATAATAGACTACTTTGAGCTTAATGTGATTACATTATCAAGGATAATTGTTGATTATATATTTATATATAGATTAGTATCTTAAACTTTATTTTCATGACAATAGAAAAAATAAATTATATATTTTACAATTTAATTTTTCAATCTTAAATATTCCTAAATATATTTATAGTTATTATATATTGCTCTGTTTCATTGAATTGATACAAGCATCAGTTATAATACGTATTATAAAGAAATACAGAAACTCAAAGATAGACATGAGACTGAAACCAGCAAATAGTCCAAGTAAACCGCCAAATGATGCTGCAAATATTAATAAATGTTATTATTTTCATATATAATCTTACCGCGAATTTTTATAGAAAGACACTTATTTAACATGATTTGAGTCAAAATGAAAGAATCTAACAGAAAATGATTGCGCTTTGCTTTTATCTCTTTTTGCGAAAGGGGATGCCGAAATGACGGAATTATCAACATTACAGGTGCATGAATATCTTTGAATTGACTAAATGCAATAAAAATTCTATTTCAAGATTGAAATAGACACAAAATTAGGAGGTATTTGACTTTGTATTAAAAATGAAAAAAAAGTTAAAAATTTGCACTTTTCAATTCGTTAAACTGTCACCTGACGTAGACGTTTTTTTAATATAAAAGCTTTCTACATAGCTTCTATGGTCACAAAATGACGTAATATCATTCATGATGACAGCTATAACGGGCTAAACGTAAATAAAGTTTTTAATTTTTTTTTTTTCGATTTTTTCGTGGAATTTAATGCTGCGGGTGTTTTTTTATGTGTACTTTAATTCTGTAAATATAATTTTGCTATCTGTAAATCCAATTCAAAAAATTATCAAATGGAATTCACAGTAAAGTAGGACAACTTTAGGATCCCCTTATTAGTCGCTTCTCTAGGATTCGCTTTTTTTCTGTCATTCTTTCATTTTGTATCAAAACGCATTATATGCGCGAGTATATTTCATCAAAATTCGTGGTGAGGTATTCTAAATTCTCACCAATATTTTATAAGATGTAAAAATTATATCTTACCAAAAACATTGCGCCAACTATAATTGACTGATCGTCGATATTGGAAAGCAACCAAATCGTTGAAAAATATATGTATTACACTATGATTGCTTATGCTGGTTGCGTTACTGTAAAATTATAACAAGGAGTTTTTGCAATAACGTAGATCCAAATATGGTGAAAGTCACGTTATCTTTTTCTTAATTAATTGTTAAGAAGAAAATAACGTGACTTTTAGCGTTCACTGTATCTGGATGAACGGTATTGCAAAAACTCCTTAATATCATTAATTATAATAATATTATGTAAAACATACAGAGATAATATATTTTAACTGTGGTCCGTTGTTTACTATGAGTATATGTAATGTAAACTATAGATTTTTAGACTTAAAATCTATAATTTAAATTTTACTACAGATTTTCGATATTCACAGCGAATAATGGATCGCAGCTTTTAATGTATACATATAACTATCAAGGGCATAATCAATCTCTAACATTCTAGATTTTACTATATGATACAATGTACGATTTCATATTCTTTAATTAGTCGATAATAATTATACACAGATAAAATGTATTCAATTGTGTCGTTATTTTATATTATTATATATTTTATATTATTCTAATATTAAATTTTTATATTCCATAATCATTTATTTTTCGAGAAGTAAGGATATATCCAAACTTGCCTAGCCGCATAAATAATATATGCATAAATAAATTTATTCAATCACATTTCTCTTACAAAGTCGCACGTAAAATGTGATTGGATAATTTTCTTTATGAATATGTTTATGCGGCAATTTGCAAGTTTGTGTAGATATACCCAATCACTCTAATAAAAGGTTTCAAGATTACATTCAAATGTATTGGACACATATAGGTATGAAATCTTTTCTTTATTTCACTTTGAAAAAAAGAAGCTAAGCAATATTTACAAGTCGACACTACGTATCTATCACGAAATCGTCGATAATATGCAGTTTATCCAAAAATAATTTTTGAGAAAGAAAAGACGACAGACCAATGAGTGAAAAAGGCATAACGAAATTACAAGAAATTACAATTAGAACAATTCTATTCCTACTTGAATCAAATTATCATTTTTACTTTCAACTGTACTTTTATATCTTTTTCTTAGACGTTAATTTAAGGAACTGCAAGGAATTGATAATGGAGTTAAAATTGATGTTGTTGAATAAATATTATTTTAAAATTAGCAAAAAGTATATTTGAAAAAAAATATATAATTTAATGCTTTATGCAATTAAATTATTTCTTTTACCCAGGGTTTTTTGAGAAACGGGCACCGTTATAATAAACAGTATTATCGAGAGTTCCGAAAGAGCTTTCAATGGGATAATAATACAGAAGGCAATCCGGTATGCATCCACAAGGTATTTTATTTACATCATCTAATGTTTTTGGAAGATTTTGTTGTTTTTGATTCATCTCTGGCCATGAATTATAAAATAATACTGTAAAAACATTAATAGAAATATTAAAGAAAAATTAAAGAAATACTTTATTATAGTGTTTTGGAAAGTCTTGGGAATAAGCTACAAGAATGTACAATAAAAAATGGGGGTTTCATTACAAATATTTAATTTAATTTGACTTACATATGACATTGCAAACTCCCAAAGTCAAACTCTTATCATCGTTAAATATGTTTTATTTAGCTCTACGCTTTAAACAATATAAGAATCTTTATTTTAGATCGCTTATATGAGAACACAATCAACATTAGAAATTTAAAATCCCTATTACGGTCGAAGTTAGACTTTCATTACTTTAAATAATTCAAATTTAAATTACTAATATATACTATGTATAATTGTACATATACCATATTGTAGTCTTTTCGAATTACGCGCTGAATTGTTTTTCCGAACTATAAACGCAATTAAAATTATTCTAATAATTAGGAATTAAATTGAGAAGCAATTTCAATAATTTGATGCTACAATCAAGCATCATATTATAAAGATGTTAATATGTTGAAAAACTGTTACTAGAGTTAATTGTTTCTTATGTATTTTTCGTTATAGTTAATCGTTTTTAAATATTTTAATATTTTTGAACTTTTTGTGGACTATGTATATACTTCGCGATTTAGACGATATTCACTCTAAAAGAAAAAACCGATTTTTTCAAGGGAGGGTTTTACTTCCTTAACGTGCGATTCAACACTTTGACATATATATGTCAAAATCAAGTTGATTGGAGATGGGTCCATTATTTTCAATATTTACATATTTTTATTATTTTTATTTTAGAAAATCCGAATTAAATTTAAATTTTTGAAGCATTACATTTATTTATTTGAATATCCATGTAGCATGAAGTCAAACATATGGAAATAATTATTTGAGTGCTTGTTCTAGAAGATATTTTTAAATAAAAAAATTTTATTGTTAATATAAAACGTTAATGTTTATTTTTTAAATAGCTAATGTATATTTGGGAGAGAGAGAGAGAGAGAGAGAGAGAGAGAGAGAGAGA